GCCGGATTTAACTCCATTCACCACAGCTCTTTGGGCCTGAACTCTTAGCACAGGACAGGGCAGTACCTGAGGGCACTTCCCCAAAGCGGACACAAGCAATGTCACATCCTTGCATCCATCTGGACACCGCTGTCAGCAGCTGAGCCTGGTTTTTGCAGACTGTTAGACACTGAAACCATCAGAGCCCAAGGTATTTTCTCCACACAGGTAGTATTTAGTTTAGTAGCTGATGATTAGCACCACAAAACAACACAACTATGGTCTCTTGCTGAACAGTGACATGCCTGTACCGGGCAGGGCTTCTTGTTTGGATGGGAGTGTCCAGGACACGTACCTGTGATTGTCATGAATATCATCTGATGATTCTGTCTTCTCCAGCTCCTTCGTGCCACTGAGCAGCTTTATGCAGCAGCTGTTTGGCTGTGCTGGAGAGAAGCTCGGCTCTGCACTGTCTAACCCCCAGTTGCAAAAGCGTCTTTGGTGATAAAGCCTCCTTAATCTCAGGAAATGGCTTTATGAAGCTGTAGTAGATGCTGTTCTGTAGTACTTAGAAAAGATGTCAGATGAAAAACAGAGACTGATGGTTGGTATTTGTGCAATGTGCTTGAATCCAGTTTTGTCCAATACTGAAGTTAAAAAAAAAAAAAAAGAAAAGAAAAAGAAGGTGCTAGATGCACAGTCCAGGCACCCTGAGATGTGGGAGGGAGGGATTATGAGGAGCGGCTGAGGGGGCTGGGGGTGTTCAGCCTGGAGAAGAGGAGGCTGAGGGGAGACCTGATCGCTCTGCAGCTCCTGGCAGGAGGGGGCAGGGAGGGGGGGGTCGGGCTCTTCTCCCAAGGAACCAGCGATAGGACGAGAGGAGATGGGCTCAAGCTGCATCAGGGGAGGTTTAGATTGGATATTGGGAGAGATTTCTTCACAGAAAGAGTGGCCAAGCACTGGAGCAGGCTGTCCAGAGAGGTGGTGGAGTCCCCAACCCTGGAGGGGTTCAAAACACGGGCAGAGGTGGCACTTTGGGCCATGGTTTAGCGGGCATGGGGGTGTTGGGTTGATGATCTTAGAGCTCCTTTCCAACCTTAGCGATTCCTAGTTTTTACTTCCATTAAAAACCAATCCATCCCCCAAGCCAGGAGGCGTGGGGTTGCTACTCTCCCCTTAACTGGTTTAGTGTGGCCTTGGCAGTGTTAGGTGAATGGTTGGGCTGGATGATCTTAAAGGTCTTTTCTAACCTAAACGATTCAATAATTCTATGATTGCTGTGCAGAGCCTCATGCTGCCCCTCAAGTGACAACCTGCAGCCTTCACGCAGGGCCAGCTGAGTCTGTCCAGGGGCTCCTTGGCAGGGTCAGGAGAGGTTTTTAAGTTGTGGTTTCCACCCTCTGGCCCTGTGGATTCATCTTCAGATCTCTGTGTAGATAATTCATCAGCAGGCTGGAACCTGCCATCGTTGAAGAGGACACAGCTGCGGCTTTCACTGCATCACATATCCTCTGAGGCTTGCATCGCTTCGCTGAACCTGTTTGTAATTCTTTCTGTCTTCTATTAAACCGACATTACTTTTGCTCTCTTTTTTCCCCCCGTTCCCAGGCTTCACCCTAAGAACTGTCTGGGAGTGCGGCAGTTTGCAGAGACAATGATGTGTGCAGTGCTCTACGACGCTGCCAACAGCTTCATTCATCAGCACTTCGTGGAGGTATCCATGTCCGAAGAGTTCCTGGCACTGCCTTTTGAAGACGTCCTGGAGCTCGTTTCTAGGGATGAGCTCAACGTGAAGTCTGAAGAGCAGGTGTGTAGCTGGTGTACCTTGCTCTGAGAAACGCCTGGTAGGGTTTCTCAGACCATAGATTTTGCAAAACGTTGTTTTGAGGTGTTTTGATACAGAGGTGGAACCTGGTGGGTCCTGAGGACCTTCCGCCGTGCCCCTTACTGTCGATAATTTGCAGGTCCTGGGGAAGAGAGGCTGAGGCTGTGAGCAATAGCAGGGAGCCCCTTCCTCCCAGAGTTCACGTTCAAGTCCAGAGGAATGCTTCTGAGGTGTAAAGAATTTGCTGTGAGTGCTGCAGCATTTTATAATGAGTGTTCCGCTGAATTTGCCATCAAGAGGCTCTTCTAGACTGGCTTGTTCCTGGGGAAAAAAACAGTAAGCAGGGCTGAGCAACTTTAGGACATTCCAACAGCCTTGAGAATCTATTGGTGCTGGGCTGACAGTCTGCAGGAGATACAGAACCTGTCCTCGAGCCAGGAAATCTGTCCTGCTCTTTCTGAGGAGGTTACTGAGGAGGTGACAAATGAAAAGCAGACCTACAGCTGTCTCCATGTAGGGTAAGAGTGTGCTTCGTTAATCAGGCTGTCTGAAATGGGAAGGGAGGGGAACCTGCTTCACATTCCAGCCACGTTGCTGTATCATACCACAAATTTGTCTCTTGCTGTTTTTTTTTTTTTTCCAAGTGGATCCTTTGTGGAGCAGGTAGGAGTCCAAAGAGTCTGTCCCTGGTGACATTTCCGTGTGCCCTGACAGCTACCAGCCCCCTCTTCAGAAATGGCAGTATTTTAGTGCAGTGCAGCCTATCTGCTGATCATAAAGCACCTTGTAGAGCAGAAGTAAGTTTGGGTTTGTTTTTTTTTTAAGCTCACCGTGGTACTGTTGAAGTACTTTTGCACTGAAAGCCTCAGGAGAGGTGATGCGAGAGACTCTGGATCTCCACCGTAAAAGAAGGACTTAATAATTTTGTTATGGTAGTGGTACTGCCGGACTTTTCTCTACAACCACAGAAGACTGGATGATCTTAAAGGTTTTTTCCAACCTAAACAATTCTATGATTCTGTGATTGAGAGCAGTTGTCCTGCGAGCTGGTGGCCATGACCACAGTGACCGGTTCTCCTGCAGCTTCTGGGGGACTGCTGTGGGTTTGTGATCTCCCTGAACCTGTGAAGAGCGATGAGGCTGCAGCGTGTGGCGTTGGCCTTGGAGTGTGACCCCTGGTCAGTGCGCCCGCCGTGGGCGACAGTGATGGGACTCGAATGTGGTCATCTGCATCTAAGGGCAAGAGCGCAGGATGACCCAGCTTAGGCTTTAACTGTGAGAGTCCTGTGAACCAAGGAGTACGCGTCTCCAATTAAACCAGTCACCAGGCTCCTTTTGTAATCTGGAGTCATCCAAAACGGGGCAGGTGAAGTGTGCTTTGAAGAGGCCTGCGAAGGGAGCCTAGAGGGACCACCTCAGCTCTAGACATCTATTTGTGTACTTATCCAAAGTTAACAGATGCATCCCTCTCATCAAAACTGTCTTCCGATTTTTCAGAGCAGCACCATTCTTTTTTCCTTCCCCAATTTGCTGATTTTTGACACTACATAAACAAGGTTTTGCATTCTGTCCCGCCCCCTCTAACAAAACTCTCTTCCCAGCTCCCTCATGTCCCTACAAATGTTCGTTCTAAACGCACCATCCCATGGGTCCATAGGTCAGTGTTATGGCAGACTAAGTCGGAGGCAGAGGCAGCGATGGCAAAGCCACCGAGCATCACACAACAGGAAAGCCCTCTGGTGCAATGTAGAGCATCGCCGTTCCATCCTGAAGCAGTGTCACCTGAGATCACGGGAAGACCCTGTGTGGTTTCTTTTCCATCGGACAATTGGCAGCAGTAGGAACTTCCAAAAAAAAAAAACCAAAAAACCCCAAAACTCCAACTTCCCATGCCTCTTTTCCGTAGGTGTTTGAAGCTGCGTTAGCTTGGATACGGTATGACCGAGACCAGAGGGAGTCGTTCCTCCCTGAGCTCCTGTCCAAAATCCGCCTACCCCTTTGTCGACCTCAGTTTCTCACTGACCGCGTGCAACAAGATGACCTGGTCCGCTGCTGCCACAAATGCAGGTGAGGCTTGGAGCTGGGGTTAGAAAACCACCCGGGGGTGGTGGCTTGCGGTGGGGTGGAGGTAGCAGGAACATGGTTTAGCAGCCTTGGAGGCTGAAATTCTCTCTTTCTGTGGGCGAGCGCCTCGCGTAACAAAAAACCAAAGCACCCTCCCCAATTTTAACCTGGCAGCGGGGCCACATTGTCTTCTAGAAGTACTGGCCATGGAGCTGGAAAGTCAGTTGCTTAAATCTTCATCTGACTTAAGACGGTCAGATTTCATCATATCAACCGAGCTCTTTAACTCTTTGCCTTGATTTTAGGGATCTGGTTGATGAGGCAAAAGATTATCACCTCATGCCAGAGCGCCGGCCACACCTCCCAGCGTTCAAGACCCGTCCTCGGTGCTGTACATCGATCGCAGGATTGATTTATGCTGTTGGAGGACTTAACTCAGCAGGTACCTTGCACGTCTGCTCCGTGCAGCGGAGAGAGCGGTGTAGTTTGCTGGGTAGGACGATGGGATTGTGACCGTCCCTCGCGTGAAGCGCTGAGCAGTTCCTCCTCCTCTGCGCGGCACTTTGACCCTTCCACTGAAATGCTCAGGGTGGCTGTGGCCATAGTTTAACATCTTCCATCTAGAAACTCTGTCTAGGTCGGGTTTATTTAGGACAGCTCTTCTTGCGTATCTTAAAGAATCAGCATTTTGAGGGCAATGACCTTGCCTAAAGCAACAAGCGGAACTCGGAGATATCAAGGTGATGGTGGTGGGGTTGTGGGATCACACATGCAGACACAGAAAGGAGGTTGTAGTGACGTGGGTGTTGGTCTCTTCTCCCACGTAGTTAGCGATAGGACAAGAGGAAATGGCCTCAAGCTGTGCCAGGGGAGGTTTAGATTGGATTTTAGAAAAAATTTCTTCATGGAAAGGGTAGTCAAGCATTGGAACAGGCTGCCCGGAGAGGTGGGGGAGTCCCTATCCCTGGAAGCATTCAAAAAATGGGCAGACGTGGCACTTTGGGCCATGGTTTAGTCTAGTCTACCCTTGATTGGTTTAGTGTGGACTTGGTAATGTTAGGTTAATGGTTGGACCGGATGATCTTAAAGGTCTTTTCCAACCTAAACGAGTCTATGATTCTGTGACACAAGGTGCTTGCACGAGCCCAGCCATAGCGTAAAAAGGAGGTGGAAAGCATTCATGAAACTCTCTGCTGGAGCCTCAAGCAACCTGGTTATCCCGGGATGTAGGCTCTGAACAGCAGGCGTGCGCTGGGCGCTGCCTCGAGGGCTTCGTACCCCAGTCACACCGTAGCACGGCTGGTTTATCCCAAAGAGAAGCCGCGTTCCCAGGAAGCAGCGACACCAAGATGTGACATTGCAGGTCTCTGCTGCCCCTTTGAGGTGATAAGAAGCCCCACTTCCCCAGTCCAGTCTCCTGGTACAGAGCACGGGCGAACTTGGAAACACTCCATCATCTTTTTGCGTTGTGGAGTGCAGTTTTATGTGAATTTTTCAGAGCAGGCTCTCTTTGCGGGTGGGTAGAGATGTGGCTGGGAAATGCCTCTGATTTGACTTTGATGTGGAAGCGGGGAGGCTGGAATAGGACGTGTGAGAGCCCAGGATAGGTAGGACATGTGAGATCCGGGCCGTTTTTCCAGAGAAGAGCAGGCAAAGTCCCTGCTTGGGGGTCAGAGCAGCGACCGCTTATCCCTCGCGTGCCTCTGCTTCAGGCCGGCTTGCTAGAACAGTGTTTTATCAGGTCTCCCTCTTTTAATTTGAGTAGCAAATTTTTATGCAGGTGACTCACTGAATGTGGTGGAAGTCTTTGATCCCATTGCCAACCGCTGGGAGAAGTGCCAGCCAATGACAACGGCCCGGAGCCGAGTCGGGGTAGCGGTGGTGAACGGACTGCTCTATGCCATTGGCGGCTACGACGGTCAGCTAAGGCTGAGCACCGTGGAGGTTTACAACCCGGAGATGGATTCCTGGTCCAAAGTAGAAAGTATGAACAGCAAGCGAAGGTACGTGTGGCTCGCTCAGTGGGAAGGGCACCTTTGGAGCAAGAGAGTGGGGGGAAGGAAAAATGAGGTTGTAGGAAGGCTGGAGGTGTTGGGTGGGGGTGGGTGCCGAATACAAATTTCATGCGTGGGGAAGGAGCAAAAGAAAAAGGAGGAGTGGAGCAGTATGGAAGCAGGTGGGATTTGGCTGGCCGCGTTTGGGTTGGGCGAGTTGTGCTGATTCTGAGCACTGCTTCTTGGCAAGAGGGGAGAAGCGTCGGCAGGTCAAAAAAGTTACGCCTGTGCATCACAGCGTTGATTTACAAGGAAAGCCATTAAGACCTCGGTAAGTAAAAAGGAGCCGAGCGGTGTGGGCTCTAAGCTACAGAGATCTCTCGGTTTTGGTGGCATCAAGGAGTGAAATCAAACGAAAAGAGAGCGATAAAGTTCTGCCGGTGAGGTCTGTAAGTGTTTGAACTGGAGTCCCAAAGGAGGCGGTCAGAGCCCCATTTCCTCACGGTGGGATACCAGATGGGAGGTAAAGCACTGGTGAGCACCGTGTCGGAAACTCCCGTGCTGCTAGGAGTCAAATAAACCCATTTTCCCATCTCTGTCCGGTGCTGGCACGTCTTTTCCCAC